TGAACTCATCCAGACATCACTCACACACAAACAATCGGAGGTGGTTGGGTCTGAAGCCAATCATAGATGATGCTTCAGGCCCCGTACAACCATACACAGATGAAAGGTGGGAGGAGAGACTATGGAGGTGGGAGGTATAGGCAGCGCCAGATGTCACCGAGATAGAATCCAGAAGGTCACCGATATGGTGGTCCAAAATGTCACCGAACAAACATCAAAATGTCGTGGACAATACCCAAGAGTCTAGCTCAGTGGGTACACTGATGAACTGTTACAATACAGACCTGTGTTCGAATCCAGCTGATGGAACTTGACAATTGAAATCAAGTACTAATAAATTGCTTGGGGTCGGTCAGCTCAATGATAATATCTCAAGACCGTCGCCCTTTTTAAAAAAAAATAAAAATAAAAAAAATGTCGTGGACAATAAGTCACCAATGTCGGAGGTACAGAGTCCTAATGTAACCGGTGTCCAATCTGTGATGCGGCCGAGTATCAATCCCAACTATCTCCAAGGTCTCGAATCCGGTAAGTACCACAGCCTCTTACCACCGAAGCTGATCTCTGTCCAACTCGTATCAAAGTCTCCAATCTGAAGAAGAAGAAGAAGAAGAATAAAGATCACTCAATCTAGGTAGTCTCGATCTACCAGACGTCTCAATCTAGGTACAGGAAGTCTGAATGGGTAGGGTTTAGGCAATAAAGATCACTTGAGGGATTCGCTCCAGAATGATAGTCACCATCTGGCAGACTCGAACACCAGAGCTGAGAGAAGAGAGAGGGTCAGGGCAAGCTGACAGTCAATCCTCCACGAATATGGAGTAATCAATGCTGTTCAGGGGTCCTTCGGCCAAACGGAAGGAAGCGTGTGTGAATTTTCATTTGATGTAAAAAAAAATTATGACTTGCCGGGGGAATAGGAACCGGACTGACGCTCCCCAGAATAGAAGGAGCCAGGATGTGGCATACTGTTTAGCCACACGGGCCCTGCAGGGCCCGTCCCGCCCGTCCCGCACTTTCAGCCTAAAAGCCTAAAACTTAGGGCTTACAGGCCCCGGTCGTTTCAGCCTGAAAGCTGAAAAACGAGGGCCTGCAGGCCCTACTCCGTTTCAGCCTATTTCTGGGTCTTTCAGACCCAGAGTTTTTCCAGCCTGAAACGGAGGGCCATTTTCAGGCCCTCATTGTTKCGACCTGCCCCTAAGACTCAGGCACGTAAACAGGGATGCGGAACARGCCAGAAATAGCCTGTTCCTCACGAGCTTGAGCAGGAGCTGCAGCTGCAGCCCCTGCCTCCCATCGGCATTGGCAAGAGCAGCCTCCTGGACTGCTCGCACGAGTCAGGAGGCACACCYGAGTAGTACATAGGACTGTCCTAGGCACTTCACGGGTAGGTAGTCAGACAGTAGTCAGGGTAGTCTTCCGGATAGCGGAGCAGCACTCAGGAGGAGCGCTGCTCAAGGGCAGCTTAGCGCTAGTGTAGTCTT